ATTCCAAGTACCCGTTTCGTCGTTTTGACAGCGTCTTTCCCATGAGGCTCAGCCACATCGTTGTCCCTGACACGATTGAATGGATGTAATTTCCCTCCGTGTGTGAATAGAAGGATACCACTGTGGGTTCACACTGGAGAAGCGACGCGAAACGGGCATAGCGGCCCGTTATATCGATTTAACAATCAGTGCATCCGAGGCAACATATGAGAGTAAGGTGGCATAACTCGCAAGTAGTATAGGTATCAGACACGGAGGGCAGAAAGTATTCAGAGAACGGTGCTGGCCGTAGAAGGACTGGACAGACCCGTTCCGCTCAAGACAGCCGGTACCGTTGTTCACGTAATGCGCCTAGGTCTTCTTGAAAACGCGCGTCTGCTGCTTCTTCACATCGCGCGAGCCGCCGGTTATCCAGAAGTCATAGAAGAAGATCTCGACGACCGCGCGAGTAAACACGTCCACCAAGGTGCACTATGAAGTCGCCTCAGCCTCTCAATCAACAGCCCAGTCGTCGAAAAGGCGCACCGTCCTCTGCAGTTTCCAGACATTGAACAACATAAACGACCATCCGGCACTTCCACAATCCGTATCCGGATTGGTTCGTCAGGTGTGTAGTGCAGGTACATAGTCGAATAGTCGTGCATGTACTGGTTCCGACTCTCGCCTGGACTCATGCGCGCCAGCATGACGATTGCGCTGCCAATGGCATCACAATTCTGATTGCACACCTCTGTCGATTGCCACTTCACTGAACCTAAGACTTCGTCATATAGAATGGCGAAGAGAATAAAGATGAGCCAAAGTGCAAAGGTGATGGAAGGGCGGTGCGGCGTACCCAGAAAACTCCGCGAGATTCCGCGACTGCGAGCGCCGCGAGTGAGCCGGCGCAAGACGCGTAGACAACGCGCTGGGCTCACAGCGGCTGCCTCTCGGAGTGGGAGCAAGTCCCGGCAAGGGATCGCGCAACTGTAGCATAGTCGCGCGCGATCAAAGCGAGGACTAAGAGGCGATGAAGCCTCTCGCTACTCGCCCCATAGAGCCTAAACGGCTTGAACTCCCACAATCTTACGGAATGACACTGCTCGTGGACAAAGTCGCCAGTTCTCCTTCAGCCGACGAGGACAGATCTATCGTCTGAGGCATATCCGCGCATTGACGATGGTAACGCACGCGGTCGTTCCGCGTAGTCGCCAGAAGGGGAGGACAATGCTACGAGGGAACAGTGTTTGATTGCGAGAACGATCGTGGGCTATATTTCCATCGCGTCGATGTGAGGAGCCCGCGGTGCATGCACCAGCGTCGGTAATCCTATTCTTGCGAGCGGGGTTGACGAAGTCCATTAGATGAAAGAACTCTCTGCGGGATAAATCATCTGAAGACTGGCGTTCAAGCTTGTGGGAAGAAGAAGGGGCATCGATGAGAGCGCGATCGTTGATATCGATAAACCTTCTGACGCGGTCACGCGAGCTGCGATGCGTGGGTGAGTTCTCTTGCAGACTTGAGCCGACTCGACCCAGAGCCCTGACCTGCGGTGTAACACCAAGGTATAGCATTATGCACGATCCAAATGCGGGGGTGATGTGGATGGACGCAAAGCGGCTGCACCCCGGACGCAGAATAAGGAGCTTAAAGGGAGATCCATCATCGCCAGCACACACACAGGCCCAGAGTACGGTTGGGTTCACGGGACTCATGACACCAGTAAGCTTCTACCTCATTCTTTCTCAGGCGAATCTTGCTTCCCAATTCTTGCCGCGCCACAGCTACCGATATCGTGACCTCCTCCATTCTCATCATAATACACGCCATTCAATACGTCCCCTGGATGTGGCGGGTCTGGTAGCTTATAGATACTCAGCACTGCAACCAGCTACCTGTTTTGCCTGTGGTATATTGCCAATCAAACGTTCAAGCGGGTCTTTCATACAGATATATTCATGCAATTGGGGAATACTTCTCTCAGCTCACTGATATGACAGGGACAGTCTGGGTCAACAGTGATCCCCCTGCTGTAGACCACGCAATGGAATATTGCGTAATCAGTAGCCAGTGGCTGTAATGATGGTCGCACGTATGTATATTTATCTACGTATACTAGCATTGTCGCTCATTTCTTGCTCCGAAGACTACAACGATAGCAACAGTATACGGATGGCGCTGCTACAGCGAGGGTCAAACGTTTGTTACACCGTTCCTCCAAGTGCATCTAGTGGTACTGGTTGGTGCTCAGAGAACTGGATTCAAGCTAATTGAGGCACTGAGAGTCACACCAATTGCGTGCAAACAATCGACCGGGGTAATGTCCTAGATACGTGAATATCGCGTTCGCGCAGCGTCATCGCAGGGAAGAGACAAAGCCCTCTCGTCACGACTACCTATTCTCCAGACTTCAACGCAGCCGCTAGTGCATAGTGTCAGCAGCTCATGACATCTGAGCGACCACGAAGACGACGCTCTAGCGCGTATCACAGCTCAGCGCTGAGCCGTTCGCGCGTCTGCGATGCGTCCTGTACACCCGCGGCAACTAGACTCGGCCGGGAAACTCAAGTTTCAGGGGTTGCAGTGAGAACTGCATCCTCTTTCCGACCTAAGCTACCTTCTTGTTCCGCGGTAAGTTCGGACACAATCAAGGTCGTGCGTTCAGTATGAAGAAGATCCGACCCCCATCTACCACCAGATGTATGACACGGCCCCCGACTACATTTTCCCTTGCAATATCAAGGGGGGAGAGTATAGGAATTGCGTGCTCAACGCCTGCGGGGCGGACAGTACTCTAGGTACGTGTGAACTTCTCAGCTTGGCTGGGGACGCACGACAGCTGAACGCTGAACAATTGCATTACCGACAAGACGTGCCCATCTCTTAATGTCAGGTTGTCGGCAAAGACTGGGCTCCCGTAGTGCCACGGTTTGGCTGTGCCCATGGAGGCATGGGGCAAGCCTTGAATCTCGCGCGGCAGCCACGCAAACACGTGGGAAACACCCCTGGCTGAGGCATGTAAGCCGGCCTTTCTACCTTCGCCACCATCACCACAACCCATACGGACGCTTAACCTGCGCCTACCACTCTCGCCCTTGGACTCTGTCTTCTACAATGGACTCCAGACTGCCTGACGATACCTATGACTATTCTTTGATGGAAGGGGAAGGAAACTCCTTTTGGCCCTTATTCCTCCGAGCCATAGATCATAAGAAAGACAAACTCGCTCATTATAATCGGGGAGCTATGAGCGCACTTCTCACCTTCGTATGTACAGCTGGAATGTCTGTCTAGTCGCTGCTAATCAAAGCTCTACAGACTGGTCTCTTCGCTGCTACAGTCGCGGCATTTTTAGTGGACAGCTATAAGACCCTCTCACCTGACCAGAACACGCAGATGCTCATGATGGCGCTTAACCACTCAAGTGCCCTCTTATCTCAGCTTGTTATGGCGACGGACACAAAGCCAGTCCCAATCCTTGAACTTGAGCCATTCCATCCAACGAAATGGAACGTCGCTATCAATGGACTCTGGTTCACTTCTCTTGTTCTCTCGCTCCTAAGCGCTCTTCTGGCAACCCTAGTCTTAGACTGGATGAGCGACTCTATAAGAGTCTCTAGGAATCCCGTACCTGAGACTCTTGAGCGATATGCATACAGACGGCTCGTAGCATTCATGGGCATTCACAAATACGGCCTGGACCGTCTCGCAACGACAGTCGTCGGTATGCTGCACGCTGCAGTCGTAGCCTTCCTTTTAGGGCTATCATTTTTCCTTTTTACGAACAACTTTCTCGTCGCCATGTTTGCTGCAGTTGTGTCGGGCGTTGGCGCAGTCTTCTACATCATAGCCAGCGTGTTTCCGCTGATCGATCCCACTTGCCCTTACCGCACACCTCTGTCGCGCTTTCTGCAGTTGGTCTGGGATGCTGTACTCGTAGGGGTCTCATGCGCGGGTTTGTATGTCATATTGGTCTACCGGTCGGTGGCAAAATGGATCAAGAACAAGGATGTCTATCTTCCCGATATCAGCCCTTCCGCGCTCAAGGGCTTAATGACGGACGATGCTACCGCACCAGTCATGCCCCGCTTGTTGAAGTCATATCTCAAGCGCGAGCCCGATGAGAAACGGGATCAGGTGATCCATCAAGCCTACCATCCTCAAATGGAACGGCTATCCGTGTCTATCAACGAGCTGTCGTACTTGACTACGTTTACGAAGCTTCATCTGTTGGATAGCCCGGACACCGTGCGCTATATGTCACGCAATCTCCTCGATATGACGCGCGGCGGCATATCCTCGTACATCTCTTCCCTTCTCGAGCACGAAGGCATCATGTCGAAGCTCTCTGCCGTATTCCGGCACATCGACTCTCCCCTTGACGCGATAGGCGCAATTCGATTCCTGCAGATGCTTCTACTCGCAATCAATGAGCTTGACCAGCTCAATTCGATAGAAGCTGTTGCATCGAACGAGGACAGTCGATGGGCCCATCTGGATGCGGTGGTCGGCTTACTGCCGGCATTTTTCGATCGATACGGCGAACTCAACGACGAAGCGCTGGCACAGAGTGACGTCACTCTGCTCGCGGCGAGCGCGAGTCTGCGCTGGACGCTCGTCTTGGCCATGGGGAGGGTTCAAGCGTGCGATGGCACGAGCGGGGCCCCTGGCTGCTTCGCACAGTCGAGATTGCAGCTGGTGATGAAGATGTTACAGAGAGTACCGAGTCTCCGCTTGTGCGCCGTCACAGCGCGCGATAAGGATGACATCGACGATCTCTTCAATCCAAGAGAGCTCGACCCTCCGACAGACCACCGAGTCCATTGGGCCAGGGCCAGATACGTGCTCGCGTATCGTAATGCGTTCACTCTTCTTGAGGGCGCGCGTCGTTGTCACTGGAACGACGGTTGGCAGCACCCTGACACACGATATCTCCCGAAGGACACCCGGTGTATGTGGGACTGGGGTGTACTCGTTGTCCCCAATCGGGAACCCAAACCTGCCCCTTCTGCAGCTTTGCATGCGGTACTCAGCGATGGCTTTGTCCAGAGCTCCCTGGCAGTTGGTCCAGGATTGGCCATCCATGATGGTTCGCAACTTGATACCATCGCCACCAGTGCCCTCCGCAAGTTAGAGGGCATCGTCGATCGTCATTTGTCTTTCGCACCTGTGCAGGAAGACACCGTGCAGGACCATGGAGAGGAAGCCCCGACGTCCGAAGATGCAGCGCAGAGTCGTACTCCTGGGGCAGCCATGGCCGATGATACCTCACAGGGTCAGCCAACGGATACGACGACGGAGGTGTGCTTCCAACGCTCTCCCGGTAGTCCTTCGCATCATTCCAGTTCGAGCAGTAGCGATAGCGCCAAAGACGAGACCGGACCGCTCATCAGCCCCATCACACCTCAGGACGATGATCACGCAGAGGAGGCCTGGAAGAATGTCCGGTCAGGCTTACACGGAACACACTGAGGAGGGCTTCGTGCGTGTGTGTATGGCGTCGAGGGACCTTGTCACGGGTTGAAACTTGCATACGGACATGGTTCAAGTTCGTGTTAAGTGACATCTGGTTCCATAGTCAAGGTCCTCGATGTTGTACGAACGTCGCGGTTACTACTCACTCTCGATCTTCTCATGGCTCTCTTGTTACGCCAGATATAACAGATACTACTACTTCGGCTGTTTTGTATTTATAACCCCCCCTCCCCCCCCATTCTGGGCTCGTCGACGCACGAATGTCGCTACGTACGACCCTTGCCACTCATTCCACACCTGCAGAAAGACTTTAGTAGTTACACGTACGGTAT